GGAGACATGGCTAAACTGCTGGATGTCCTGTCCAGAGAGGACGTCAGGTGGGGACATGTTGGTCCAGACATCATGTGGTCCTTGTCTGACACCATATTTAATCGTGTGCCATCTTTTCCCTCTCAGACTGTTGGAGGTCTGTCATCGCAGACACAGCGACAGATCAGATCTCTTCAAGACAAAGGTAGGAGGTCCAGACCTCGTTCTTCTTGTCTTTGTCCACCTGGTCTACATTTGTCCTAGGACAGTTCTGAGAAGGACCATTGAAATGGATATTTTGATTAGAGGAGGAGAACCTCATGCATGTGCATCACCAGATAAATCAGTGTGAATGACTGTTTGGACTCACTTGGTAAAGGTTCTGGACAGGTTGAGGACCTGCTCCACACCAGGACCAATCAGAACGTGCAAGACCTCTCAGTCAGGATGCTGCTCTGCTGTTAGGGTTCAGGTCTCCCTGGTATTTTTATGCCCTTGAGATGATGGTCCACCTCTGGAGCACATTCCCATAGATATCCTTCCATGTGGTTCCCAGTAGAACATCAGATCCAGTTCTGGCATGACTTGGATCATGTTAGGATGAAGCTACATGCCAGAAGACCACAACATCTCAGCAGCACCAACATCTTGTCTCTGTTGTCACCATCATGACTGTAGTCTCAGTGTGAGGCCAGTTCTGCTTCCAACCATGACAACGTTGGTCCTTCTTGGTGGTTCTGACACCACCACGCTCCACCCTGGACCTGGTAGTCCACCAGCACAATCATGAACCTCCATAACCCGTCGGCCCTGATCACACAGTGAGAGCCCACAACATTTTTCATACATCTTGAGACCTCACCAAGACCTGAGGTGTGTTCTGTCTCGGGGTTCTAACTTTGTGTCAGGCCGATCCGTCTGTCAGAAGCTGGTTCCATGAGCTCCAAGGACAAGAACAAGAGAAAGCTTCTGTCACACCTGCATGGACAACCGTACCTGTCCGTAACGCCTGGCTCCTCTGAACTGTCACAAAATAAGAGTCCTGTCAAATATTCTGGTCTGTCAGTCGACAAGCGTTTGTTCAATGTGACCTCTGACCAGCGGTCTCCACCTTCAGCTTCTTCATGTGTCCAGGTGAGTCCCACTGAGCCTCAGACTCATTCACAGCAGACACCTGCTTTAAGAGTGAAGACAAGAGTGGACAATCATACGGATAAATTCAGAACAAGTGAAAATAAAATGCTGTTAAAAACGTAACAAAAACA